AATAGCCCTGGGCCACCTGATGGCTTCAAAGTTAAATTCTATCAAACATTTAAGTAGTTGAAACCAAGCCTTATCAATCTCTTCCAAAAAACAGAAGCAGAAGGAATACTTTATTCATTGAGGCCCACATTATGTTGATAGCAAAGGCAGAAAAAGACACCAGAAGAAAACTACAGACCAGTATCCACTATGAACCATGATACAAAAAACTGAATGAAATACTAGCAAATTGAATTCAGCAGCACATTAAATGATCAAATACCATGACCAAGTGGAATTTATTCCTGAAATGCAAGGCTGATTCAACATATGAAATTCAGTTCAGGTAATATACCACATTAACATAATGGACAGGGGGCAGAGGAGGGGGCTCAATCTTCTCAAGTCAGAAAAAAAGAATGTGACAGAGGCTGGGCATAATAGTGCACCGGTATAGTCCCAGTACTCAGATGGTTGAGGTAGAAAAACTGAGGCAAGCCTGGAGTTCCATATCAGCCTGAACTTTATAGTAAGAACCTTTCTCAACAGACAAAATTTAATACTTTTCATGATATACTCAACAAACCAACAACAGAAAGAAACTTCCTCAACATAATAAAAGACATAAATGAGTACACCACAACAATCATTATGCAGGGCGGCAAAAGGCTGGAAGAGTTTCCTCCAGTATCAGGATAGAGGCAAAGATGCCTGCTTTTATCACTTCCATTCAATGCAGCACTAGAAGTTCCAGCCAGAGGAAGGAGAAAAGAAAAAAGAAAAAGAAAATGTATCCAAATTGGAAAGAAAGAAGTAAAATTATCTCCACATTTGATATGATCTTTTATGTAGAAAGTAGTAAAGATTATACACACCCACAACACAAACAGACACCCCAGATGGAACTAATAAATGAATTCTGTAAAGGAAAAAGGAACAATCTGAAAAGCAAATGAACAACTCCATTTACAACAGCATCAAAAAGCCTAGGAATTAATTTAACCAAGAAGGTGAAAGAGTTGTATGAGAACTAAAAACACTGCTGAAATTAAGACAAAAATAAGTAGAAAGATATTCCATGCTCATAGACTGCAAGACGTGGTACAGTTAAGATATCAATACTACCCAAAGTGAACTACAGATTCAATGCAATACCTAGGACAACCCCAACAATGTTTTGTACAGAAAGAGAAAAATCCTTTCTAAAATTTGTATGGGATCGTAGGAGATCCCAAATAGGCAAAACAATCCTGAAAAAGAAAGAAGGCTGGAAGACTTGCTGATTAAAAAAAAACTTCCTGATTTAAAAAAACTTAACTACAAAGCTATTATTAGTAATCACAGCAATGTGGTACTGCCATATGCAAATCAGGGGAATATAGTCTAGAAAACAATCCTCACTTTTGTTCAAATGAGTTTTGCCAAAGGAATCAAGACCATTTAATGGGCAAAAGACAGTCATTCATTCATTCATTTATTTATTGGTACCGGGGATCGAACTTGGGACCTTGCACTTGCGAGGCAGGCAGCAGAACCACTGAGCTAAATCTCTGGCCCAAGACAGTCTTTTTTAAAAAAAGGGGTATGAGAAAATTGGATATTCACATGCAAAAGAATAAATTTGGTCTCTTACATAAGAGAGTATCCAAAAATTAACTGGAAATGGATTAAAGATCAAAAAATAGGTCCTAAAATTATAAAATCCTTAGGAAAAAAACGTAGCAAAAGTTTTTAAGACTTTCAATTTGGCAATGATTTCCTGGATATGACCACAAAGGCAGTTAACAGCAGCAACAACAGCAATAACAACGAAAAATCAGCATACTGGAATTTATTAAAAAGTTTTTAAATTTGTGCATTAAAAGACACTATCAACATAGTAAAAGGCAGAACCACAGTATCTTAGTTACTTTTCTTATTGCTGACACAAAATTCCTGACATCCAAAGATAAAGGAGGAAAAGTTTATTGTAGCTCAGAGTTTATAGAAGTTTCAGTTCATAGCTGGCTGCAAGGCAGTGTGGCATAGCAGAGGGGCACCACAGAGGAGAAACAGTTTATGGTGGGCAGAAGGCAGATGAGTGAAGTGGCAAAGCAGCAAGTGACAAGCAGTGACATGCCTTCTGTCCCTTATACTCTATCCAGGCTATCCACCCTTAGGAGAAGTAGCACTCACACCCAGGGTGAGGCACCCTTAATCCTCGCACTGTACCACGAATCGATCCCAGCATAATCCACCCACCTCTGAAAAGCCCCACCTATAACTGCATGAAGGTTTTTTTTTGGGGGGGGGGGCATTAGATATAAGCTGTAACACAGAGAACAGGCAAATATAACTATGAATCAGACAAACAATAAAGGATTAATATTCAAAATATACAGAGAACTAAAATTCAACAAAAATCAACCCAATTCAATGGACAAAAGATTTGAATAGGTATTTCTTGCATGCAGATAAACAAATGACCAATAACACACATGAAAATATTCTTAACATAACTAATCATTAATCAGATACAAATCAAGGATATGTCACTCCATACCCATTAGGATAGCTACCATTAATGTTCAAGAAACAAGTTTTTCCAAGTATATGGAGAAACTGAACACTTGTGCTTTATTGGTAAGAATGTATAGCTGCTGTGGAAAACAGTATGGCTGCTCCTGAAAAATTAAAGACAATTACTGTATGATTCACCAATTCTATTTCTGATATAAGTCCTAATTACTTGAAAGCAGGGTCTCAAAGAGGTATCTGTACATCCATGTGCACAGCAGTAGTATCAAAAAATAAGTGGAAGCAAAATACCCATATACTAACAGATGAACAAATTAGCAAAATGTGGTATCTACCCACAGAAAAATATTAGTCAGTTTTAAAAGGAAAGGGAATTCTAACATTTGTTACAAAATGCATGAGCCTGGAGAACATAATGCTAAGTGAAATAAGCCAATCATAAAAAGGCAAATAATGTATAATTCCACTAATATGAAATACAGTAAAAATCAGAGGCAAAATTTTGGCTGCCAGGGTCTATAGGGTTAGGGAAATGGGAAATTATTAAGTGCATATTTCTGCATCTCTGCAGGAAAAAAGAATTCTGGATATGGATGGTGGTGATTGCATAACTATAAATGTACTTAATACCATTTAACTGTATAATTAAAAATGACTAACATGGTGAATTTATTTTACTACAATAAAATAGAAAAAAAATCCTTATTGGTGTCAGTTTCTCCAGATTAATGTGTATACAGTAATAAGATCACAGTTAAAATACACGTAGATTTTTTAAAAAAGTAAATAACCTAGCAAAAAGCATCTTAAAAGTTTGGAAAAGATGAACATAAATTGTGGAAAGAGGTACTGGGGGAGGGATGAACTAAGCCTATGAGAGTCATTTAAAAATGCAAGATTTTAAAAAATTAAATAACAAAATTATTTTAAATATTGTTTGAAAAAATAAATGAGTATAGATGGGAAATTCTTGAAAGGGATAGAGAGGGGAGCAAAGCCTACCACATACTAAAATATATTATCTGCAAAACACAGGAACGATAATTAAAACAAACTGATATTTACACGGAACAGAGCAACTTCTCTACAACTCTATAAAAAATGCCGTACTAAGTGCCAGGGATTTAGCTCAGTGGCTCCACTGCCTGCCTCACAAGCACAAGGTCCCAAGTTTGATCCCTGATACCAAAAGATAAAAATACAGAATTTAAAAAAAAAATGCATTACTGATACTAAAGACATAGTGCTGAACCTTTTTTCTCTATAATCAGATTTTCAGAAGCTATTTTGTTTGAACTGTATTAGTGAGAAAGGACCATCCCACTCTTGCATGAATTATTAGGAAACAGAAGCAGCCTCAATTTGCATCACAGAGCTTCAGATAAGGGGTTTCCAGATACACATTCCACATGTATCCCAGCTCTATAGTCTCCAAGGAAACAAGACCCTGAGTAAGCTTGTTAGCCTGGCCTGATGTTTATTAACCCCCTGAGACACAGTCCTCTAGTGCTTTAAAAGTATCAAACATTATTGCATTTAAAATTTGCCTTAATAATACTTCTTCAAAATCCTGTAATAATCCAGTTTATTCTTCAGTGAAATAAGGCTCTTCCTCTGCTGTATAAGTCTCCCTTACAGCAAGTTAATTAGTCTAACTTCATCAATTTACAGAGATGTCCCCAATGATCATTATCAGAAGGATTTTATCAACTGAAATAGTTTATGAAAAAGTAAGTACATGTGGAAACTTAATACCTAAATCAAACAGCATTTCAAATCAAGAAAAAAATGGCTTATGGAAGAAATGGTATTGGAATCAATCTCTTAGGAAACAAAAAGTAACCACATGGATCTCATTCTGATAATTAACAATTCTAAATGTCTGAGATTTTAATATTCAAGAAACTGAAATTAAAACTAGAAAAAAAATCTTTTTGCATTTTTAAATCATAAATTAAGATCTCAAAACTCAGAAGCTATGACTACAGAATTATGAGTTTCAGTGGACAAATTTCTGGTGGCAATGTTGATTCAAAAGTAGGTTTCTTCATAAAAATCAGTGTACAAGGCCAGGCGTGGTGGCACATGCCTGTAATCCCAGCACTTGGGAGGCTGAGGCAGGAGGATTGGTGCGAGTTCGAGGCCAGCCTAAGCTACATAGTGAGATTGAGGCCAGCCTGAACTATGTAGCGAGACACTGACTCAAAAAAAAAAAAAAAAAAAATCAGTGTATATCATAAAGCACAAATGACCCACAAAATATAAAAACATAAAGAAAATATTAGATTCCCAGAAAAAATACAATGATCAATGACAATTTGATTTCACTCATAAAAAAAAAAGGGTAAATCAAATGAAGAGATACTATTTTTAACAAACTGTAAAGTTTATTAACATCCAGTATTTATTAACTGGCATGCATGCATTTTCCCTCACAATTACATATTTTTACTGTCTTTTAGAAGGGTGTTTGACAATATGTTAAAAATTTTAACTGAATATACCTTGATCTATCATTTCATGATCGGAAACTTATCTTGGGGACACAATCATAAAGTCTTCCAAAATGTTCTTGACAACTGTAAGTATAAAATGTTTCTTTGTTGATGGAATTCCATACATTTATACAACAGAATACAGCTGTTAAAATTAACAACGGCCTATATGTGGTAACAAGGAGAATCTTTGCACTTTCAGCTAAGGTTATTTGTTAATAAAATATACTTTTCTAAAAATCAGAGAATGAAAAGAAAAAAGAAAATCAAATGAACTACACAAAGAGAAAAATATACCTATAAAAGTGTTTTGTTTTACTATTTTTATTACCAGCTCTCTCCAAAGGTAATTACCACTCATTGAAACTTTGCAAGAAAAAAAGTAATACCTACATCAGCATACATTTAAGTACATCTTTTAATTTTTTTTTTTTTTTTGGTACTGGGATCAAACTCGGGACCTTGTACTTACGAGGCAAGCAGCAGAACCACTGAGCTAAATCCCCGGCCCTATCTTTTAATTTTTGTTAGAGATCACGCTATATATCCAATTTACCCTTCTCAATTTTTCTGTAATACAACTGCATTCATTTTAATAATGATACAGAAGAATTTTTAAGGCAAACTATTGAAGTGTGCACAGCACAATCCCATTTGGCTTTTAAAATTCTTATGTAAGTATTAAATTCTGAATATTTAAATATAAAAAATGCTTCTATATATAAAATCTGATCATAAAGAAAATTTTAACAAGGGTTGCCTCTGGGAGATACTGGGTGGGATGGGCAAGGACAAAAAAATTTTTCATTATACATTTTCTGTCTTTTCTTCTTTGAGACTATGTTGTCGAGATTGGTCTTGAACTTTAGGAGCCTCAAGGGATTCTACTACCTCAGCCTCTTTGAGTGTAGTGCCACTGTGCCCAACTCATTACATGTTTAATTGTAAATGCCTAACACATTTAATTGTTAATGTCTAACTAATGTTAATGTTTAAATTTTTTATCAGGCACACACTTATTGTTTCTTTAACAGAAATAAAGGTAGGGTATTTTATCTAGAATAAGTCAAAGCACTGTAATTTTCCTACACTTGTTACACAAAATCTCTTGATCCTTTTCAGATTTCTCCAAGTTTCAAAGACTATACACAAATCCCTGCTACATACAGGCATCTTTCAACAAGTCCAAGTCATTTCCTTTTTCCCCTAAATCGGCTCATTTTACCTTAATTACTGGTAGTTATCTAAATTATTCACCAAAAGGTTCCTATTTCACTCAGAGTCATCTGGTTATCAAACAAGAAATTAGGGAAACTTTTGTGGGGGAGGGGTGCTGGAGATGCTGAACATGTACTCTGCCATGGAGTACAACCCCAGCCCCCAGGAGGCATTCTTAAAGCTCCTCTTACCCTCACCCCAAATCTAATTACTAAGTATTGTCAATTTTATTTTCTATTTTTCTAAACCATCATCTACTCTTCATTTCTACTTTGTCCTACGTCAGACCCTCATCTCCTTTCTAAACTGTTACAATATGTAACCTGTCTGCCAACTTAAGTGCTACCTCTCTTCAACTCATCACCGGTCTGTTAGAAGAATGACCTCCTAAAATGAAAAGGTGACTGTGTAACTTCATGGATCCTTTCATAGAACCTCACCATCTACAAAACAGAAACTAAGTATCTTTAATTAACATGATACATTAAAGGCTCTCCTTGATGTAGTAGAGGTTTCTGTTCAGGTTTCCAGCCTTATCTTTCACTGATTCCATGGTTTATAGTTTATACTTTAGTAATCCTGAATTATCAATGACTCCCTAAACATTCCAATATAGGTACGTCCTCTATTCCTATTTATTATCTGACTACAAAGCCTTCTTCCCTCCACTATGCCCAAACCTCTACAAGCGCCATAAAGTGAGGGTTTCTTAACCTTGGCATACTGACATTATGGTCTAGAAAATACTCTGTTGTACTACAAGATATTTACCAGGTTCCCCGGCTTCTACTTACTAGAAACCATAGCATTCCCAGCAGTTGTGACAAACAAAAATGTCTCTCGACATGGCCAAATGTTCCCTGGAGGAACCAGTTAAGAACCACTCTACTAACCTGTTGAAACTTAGTTTCTCATATGTGAGATATGCTCAATGAATATGGTGAATGTTTACATTTTAAAACATTACAGTGAAAGATACACTGACTAAATTCCCTCAAAATACTCTCTCTCTTACTTCTAATACACTCATCCCATCATTCTTGCCACTTTCTGAAGCAGTTCTGGAAATCTTCTTTCCAGAGTATCTTTAGTTACACTGTTGTGGCTATCCAGATGAACTGAACAAATTTAAAATGTTTACCTTTCATGGTCATTTAGACTTTGGGGTAGATTGCATAGTGCCAGATCTGGTGAATGGGATGGACGAGAAAACACCATGATGTTTTTATTTGATAGAAATTGTCGTAACATTTTGAATCGATTCAGGCCATCAAGACAGCAATGAAGACAAATAGGAGAGCTGCCAAAAGTGTTTCAGAAAGTGCCAAGCAGGGTGAAATATGTGTGTTGGAAGTGGAGGGGGGTATTTTTAAGGGGGTTAATGACAATATATCTTTTTCTGTAATACATTTTTGAAATCTAAATATTCACTGTATTTTTATCACACCACTTGTGCTAATATACAAAATATCTCAGAAAGAATATATAAAGACTTGTAACACTGGTTGTTCTTGAGGACAACTGGGTGACTAAGGTAATTAGAAGAAAAAAATGCTCATTCTTCACTACTTTTACTTTTAGTGTTTTTGTTTGTTTGGTTTTTGTTACCAGGGATCAAACTCCGGACCTTGTGCTTGTGAGGCAGGTGGCGGCACCACTGGGCTAAATCCCCAGCCCCTACTTTTAGTGTTTTTAATCTTTTTGAGCCTCTCCACAGCTAATACATGCCTTTGAGTCACTTTTTTCTCTTAACTACTGGAATAACCTTTGAGCAATGTTTCCCTTCTTCAGTCTATTTTTACCAGCAGCCAGAGTAATTCTTTAAAAAGTGAAATCCTTGTCACCCATTTGCTCAAAACCTTCTTCTGCTTTCCTAATCTTACTTTAAAAGTCAAAATCTTAAATAATCTTCACATAATCTGCCATCCTATTCCACTCCTTTCTTTCTCTCTTCCTTGAATTCAGAGGGTTGGGGGTGAACAAATAGAAATTTCATAGGATTGAATGTAATACTGTTTCCCTCACCGTGTTTTAAATTTGGACTCCTTATAGTTCCTCAGTCATCCCTGGGTTTTTAAAATTGCTGCTCTTTACAGGGCACATACCTCACTTATCTGTCTTATTCCCCAACTACTTCAGGTCTACTTCTCAAACATTCCCTGATCACACTACTCTTACCTATAGCACCTATTAACATCTCTTATTATACTGAAGAAATTCCAGGCAAATCTGAGACATTTAAGAGGCCTCCACGAGTACTAAAAAATCATTTTCTTTTCCTACGAAGAATTTTAAATGAGTCATACTTTCCTTACTAAATCACTGCTTTACTTAACATACAGTGAAAAGAGTTAACTGTTTGGTTACTTGAAGCTTTATATTCATTTAAACTGTACATCAATATACACTAAAGCTGGCAGAAAATAAAACAAGTGCAGTTTATTATACACAATACTTAGAACACAGTATCATGCACGTAAGGCTCTCCTGACATTTATCTGACATGAGAATGCAAAGCTGTCGTCTAAAATACCTTCTAAAAACTCTAGATTCTCAGCCCATACCAGAATTAAACCACCTGCAATTATTTTCATGGTATCCAGGAAGAGCTATGTTCTTAGGCTTTTTATAAATTAACAATTCCTGCCCCTTACACATTACCTAATTAGGAAACATTAAAGTTCTGACTTTGTAACTTTTAAATTCATAATGAAACCAATTCATAGTCTAATAGTTTTCAATCCTTACAGCAGTGAAAGAAAATATCGCAACTCCCAATGACTCGAGAGAACTGGATTAGAAATTTAGTCAGTTTTTCCAAAATGTGCGGTTTCTGTTGCTGATACTTCTTTTTAAAGGGAGGTAGCGGGCGTTAAGGGCTAAAACACAGTAACTCCCCATCCCTAAATTTCAGTCATCTTCTAAGAGTATACAATTCATCTAAATTCAAAGCAGTGTGGACAAACTTACCAACACGTATGGAAATCCCATCACACTATGTCCGGCCCAAGGAGGGGAGAAGCAACATAGAACCCCTTTCCTCTTCCACACAGAAGTGCCCCAACACACACCCGGCTCGTCCATCCAGCAACAGGGAAACTTAAAAAATAAATCAGCCCGAGACGAACCTGAGGAGCGCTCGGGGCTCTCGGGAGGCACCGCACACCTGAGCGCCCACCGGCGGGGACGCGCGGGAGGACCCGGGGAGGGGCCGGGGGGGGGGGACCGCTAAGTGCCGGCCGGACGCCCGCCGGGCTGCGCGGGGACGGAGAGGCACAGAGGGCGGAAGGGAAGAACCGCGACCCCGCGGCGGCTCCGCGCAGCAACGTAGCGGCCGCGAGCGCCCGGCCCCTGGGGGAGTCGGAGGCTCCGGGGTAGGAAGTGCCCACGCCTCCCTCGGGAGCCGGACCGCGACCCCGAGGCACCTGTTCGGCAGCGCCCGGCGTGGGTCCCACCCTCCGCTTTCCCCGCGCGGCCCGGGCGGGAAGAGGGCGCGGAGAGCAGAGACCTCGGACCCGCAGGCTGAGGGCGCCGCCGCCGCCGGCCGTACCTGACATCAGCTGCGCTCCCTCTCGCCCCTCCGGGGGGCGGAGAGGGGACGAAGCGGGGCCGGCGACCTTCGCTCCTCTGGGCAGCCGCAGAAGTAGCTCGTGGCCGCTAGCCCACACCGCCGCGGCCGCTCAGACATCCTCCGACAGCAGCGGCGGCCGAGGCGGGCCCAGCGCGCGCGCACGCCCGCCCGCTCGCTCGCTCTCTGGCTCGTCCCACCCCGCCCCGCAGCGCGTCCAAGCCGCGGCCCGCCCACGGCGCCGCCACCACCCAGGGGTCTCCAACGCTGACGTCGGCACCGCCTCCACCCAGCCCCGGGGAAGGGCGGAGCCGGAGGGGGCAGGTTGGGGCGGGCCTCCCCGCCTCCGGAGACGTGCGGGCGCGACGATTGGCTGCCGAGCTCATGCTCCGCCCCCTGCGAAGGGGTCTGGGATGTCGGGGCTTCATCAGCTTTAGTTTTGGTTGCAGCCCTCTTGTGGTAGTGTTTTTTGATTTCCACCTTTCTGATCTGCTCTTGGGTCCTGAGCTAGCTTCCGGGCTCAGGGGAGACTAAAGCAAGGAAACAACGAGAACTGAGGCTGGGGGTGCCTGAGGGATCTTTGTGTGAAGAACTGGCTCTAACCCTGCGTCTAATACGCTCTTATTCCCTTAACTAGTTTTTTTCTCTTTCCTCCTCCATAGTCTTTACCCAATATCTTTCTGTTCTTAATAAAAGGAAATATGACAAGATGAGGTTTGCAAAAGGATATTGTATAACTAGTTTTGTGAGCCCAGAAATGCTGGTGAAAACCCAGATAGTGATTCCAGAAAGCCTCCTGTAGAACACGAGTATGGTCTTTGGTTTTGTTAGTGCTATAGTTCTGTCCTGCTTGGCAGGAAGAAGTTCCTCAAGGCTTTACAAAATTCAAGCTCTTCCTTGGCATCAGGGCTATGCAGCAGGAAGCTGTCTTTGGAATAGAGGGAGCGGGCGGCCACTAGTAAGGCAATCCCGCCACAGGAGGTGGGAGTGTCACCGGGTTGGGTCTGTGATCTCCAAGGCTGAAATAAAGAATTTAACCCATCCTTTTTAAATGGGTTTGCTGAGTCTTGTCGCAGAAAAAGACGCGCCACAGAGACAGTAGGATTAGGCAAGGACAGAGCAAAAGTATCATAGAGGGAAAACAGAGAGCCTTTAGGAGAAGGGAAAGCAAGTAGGCCCCCCCACCAATGAATCTGGGGAGGGGTCGGAAAGGGGTTGCCCAAAGGAACTCCCAGCTTAGGGCTTTTATACTAAAAAAAAAAAAAAAAAATGAGTGCATTGCTTAAACTATCAGTATAAACAAACACAAGGACATTCTTTATAGCCAGTGTGGATATATTGTTACTGGGCAAGAAGATTTTGCCAATGGATATATTATTACCGGGCAGGAAAATTTTGCGAATCTAATAAAGCCTTTGTTGGTTGAGCTTCCAGGTGCCAGGTCTTGGGCATTGATGCCACCTTTACTGAATACATCTGACTCCCTCTTTAGCTTGGCCTTCCAGCTGCCTGTGACCCGCTTTCCTAGGACCCTGCTTGCAGCCTTCACACATATCCAAATTGCCAGTCTCTTATGTCTGTCATAACTGAGTCAATTTATGGCTTGGGTAACTTTAGTTTTGTCCCATAAGTTGCAGTCTTTTTAACGAAGTACAGTTGATAGTTAAGATTTTCTAGTCTCCTTTGTACCGTTTATTTTTCCTATGCTACCTCTCAGGAGAACTGGTGTGGACTTTATTGGTGTCAGCTATCATCAGCAAGGCCCAGCTCCATGATGGGGAAGCTGCTTCTCTTACCAGGTTTTGGGGTGCTGGAATTTCTTTCTGGAGAGGGTTTCTAGGTTCTTAACAAAGTTTTATTAAAGGTAGGAAAAGAAACAGGCTCTACAGCAGCAAGTTTTGGCCAAGTAAAAGTAGGAAAAGAAGTACATCCTACAGCGTGAGGGTGGATCACCATGCAAGAGAGAACACAGGGTGGACATTGTTTTGTATTGTCCACTCCTCAGGCTGACGTCAGGTCTAGGCCATCCTATCAAAAACCTGCTTTTGTTCTCAGGAGAAGCCCACCTGCAGGGCTTTGGGACCCATTCTGCGCATGTGTTGGGGGTTTTGTAATTAACAGGTCACACCTGCTTCCCCAGCCAGCTTTACCATGCCCTAATCTCTTGTCTCATTCCTTCTTCCTTTAAATATCCTACTCAGGCACTTCTTCAGTACCCAAACATAGCTATTCAGAGTTATGGGCTCTGAAATCAACCCCTTTGGGCTGTGTCTTAGTCCATTTTCTGTTGCTAATAACAGAATACTACAGACTAGATAAATTATAAAGGAGACATTTTTATTGCCTGGTTCTGGACAAAGGCCAAAGGGCTGTATCTGGTGCCAGCGGTTTTGCTGAACAGAGTCCTGAAATGAAGCACATGGCAAGAAACAGGGAAACCAAAAGAGACTTATCCAAGCTGACTTTTGCAGCAGACCCACTCTCAAAATGGCCCATCAACCCATTCATCATATGAACATATTAAGCCATTCGTGAGGGCAGAATCCTAATAATTCATAAATGTTCTGTCATTGGGAAGCCAGGTCCTGAAGCAGCAAAAAACTGGATCCTCACTTCCTTGATCCCTGGTTTTTTGTGCCCTTAAAAGAATTCAAGACATGTAACTGGCCATGCTGAAGAATAGGTAGGATTTATTGCAAAGTAGAGAGTTACATCTTCAAGTCAGAAGGTGAGCAGTGCCACAAAGACATCTGCCCCATGTGTGACTTTGAATATATTTTTATGCACACACAGGTTACTCTTGGGCTTTAGGGAACTATGATGATTATCAGTGCTTTTAATTATATGTATTCTTACTGACATTTCTCTTAGGGATTACTTTGGAATGTCAAGATCTCAAAAATGTCTTCCTTATTCCTTTCAGGTAGCTATTGTTCCCCTAAGGGCGTTAATCTTATAAGAATCTAAATCAGGTCTCAGCCCAAGGAGGGAGAATCTTAAAGAATGCTCCCCTTTCTGATACGTGGCTATAGGTATGGCACCCTGGAATGTTGTATACCTTGTTTTGGAAATAGCCACAACTGGCCAAGTATCAAAAGGAAGGTATACAATGTATGACCTTACAATATTGTAATGTAAAGGATTGCTGCAGGTCTGAGACCTAACAAATGATTGTAAATATATTACACATTGAAGTCTTTTTTTCTTAACTGTAACTGACAAAGCATGTATTTTGGACTTTCTCCCCACCTTTGTCCCTCAGGCCTGCTAAAGTCTAACTACCTGCCTAACAGTTCCACTTGGTCCACCTCTTAATCTCTCATAATGAAGATTAAATTTTAACATGAGTTTGGGAGAGGACAATCCTCATTCAAATAATAGGCTGGAATCTTTGTTCCCTCCATCTGTTAGTTATGTAACTTTGTTAAGTTACTTAGCAGTGTTCCTGGGAGACATAATAAACAATGTGTGTGTTATTGTTGTTATTTTTCCGTCAATTTGCTTAGGTTCAGCTTTAGTGTAGTTTACCAGGTCACACCATCAACAGATCCAAAAGAATCTTTGAAAAGAAATTTAAAACTTGAAGCACATCTAGTGATTCTACTCCAAATGTTTCTTTTTCAGATGAAAAAACTGAGGCCAAAAAAATAAAATGAGAGGCCCGTACAAGAAAATAAGTGCAGGTATTCTGATACCCAAGTCAATGGCCTTTCCCTGGCCCATGTCTTCATACCTCTCCCTGACATCCTTACCTCCATTTTCCTCTCCTTCCCAGTTCCTGTACCATTGTAAAACCAGAAAGGGGGACTGGTGTAGAGATCACAAAATTCTAAATAAAAGACAAAACAAAACTCAGGGTTCCTTATATCATTTTAATTTTATTGAAAGCTATAACGAATAACTTTTCTAGTGAACAAAGATAAACTGTTCCAAGGGTAAGGTAAGCCATAGCCATATCTAGGAAAATTAGAGGCAAGACGGAATGTTGATAGGAATACCTTTTTTGGTGTTTTTGAAAATAGCTATTTTATGAAAAATACATATATATGCTTATTCAAACAAAAATGCAAAGAAGATTGTTATAATTTGTCCAAATCCCTAATTTAGAGATAACCACTTTTAAAATTCTGTCTTACATTCTTCCAAATATCTTCCTAAAACTAAAACACACATCAGGACATATAAGTACAATATTTTGTGAGTTAGAGTTTATATACAAGTCTTTTCTCACTGAAAAATATGTCATAAATAATATTTTAAAATTTTTCATGGTATGTGTTAAGTAGATGTACCATCATATATCTTGCCAATATTCTATTGATTGACATGGGTTTTTTTCAAGTTTTTACTATTCTTTGATAGTTTGATAGATTCTTTCAAGTTTTTACTAATTCTTTGATAAACTTCATGTATATATCTTTGCACAACTGTGCAGTTATCTTCTTGGACACATTCTTAGAAATGATGTTCATGTCAGGTTATTCTTCAGTGCTATCAACTAGAAAAAAGAACGTTATGGCTACTTTGAAAAACATAGTGCATGTGTGGGACTCAAAACTGACCAGATTCTCCCATCTGAAACACAAATAAACCTCAGACAGTATTGTCGGTTTGGTGTCTAATGGTTCAATATTGAATGTCAAAGCTCTTCAGATCAGAAAAATGTGTGTCAAAACTCCCTGGAGCAGGAAGATAAGCATTGGCAGTTGTCTAAACCTATACCCTTTCTTCCTTACTAGCAGAACCCTGGTTTTTTTTTTTTCCAGGCAGACAATGTGTCCAGATAGAGATAGTGTATTCACTTCCCTAGGATCTTGTAAGTCATGGCTGGCTTCATGACCTGCTGATGAAATGAAAGTCAGTGTCTCTAAGAGAAGTTTAACAAAATTTTATGGAAGAAAGCTTTAGCTATTTGACCTTCACCCTTACCTTTTCATACTTGTAACAGGCATGATTCTGAAGGTAGAACAGCCATATTTTAAGTACAATAACAAATGCAGTGACATTGACTGTTAATAGTGCTGGAAGCCCGAGGTCCCGAGTTCACAATTTATTTGGAGGGCCAGCTTAGCAGAACTGGACTGCCCACTTCTGGATTTTTCTTATGTGAGGAAAAATAAATATGTCCTATATGAGGCTTTGTTATATGAGTTTGAATGCAATTCCTAAATGGTATAATACATCATCACTTA